TGAACCCTGAAAACCCTAGAAGCCTGCTAACTAATAACCAGTTAATTTTCGCTGGTCCAGTGCCAGGAGGGCTGCAGGAGACACTTAGTTACATACACACTCTGACAAAGGATCAATCTCCAGGCATGCAAGTATGTAAAACAAAACAGCAAATAAATTTACAACTAGCAAAGCAGTTTCCCCATTTCTGTTTTTCTCGCATTAAACAGATCGGCATATGCACTATATTCTTTCTTGAAAAAAGGCATCATCATTTAATATCAAACTTTTAACACCTTTAATTACTTTTCCTGAAGCTTCCCAGAAATATTTAACGTGGCCTAAATTATAACAATAAATAAATAAACAAACACATAAAAACTTATTTTTAATTTTGGTTTCTTTTCCCTCTTTGGAACATCACATTGAGGTTGTGGCCCAGATTCTGATTTATTTTAGTATTAAGACACAGTAATTTTGTCAGCTTTTGTACACAGGGAAATCAGTATGCTGTAAGCTAACACCTTAACTTACAACATGGCTGTATGAACAGTCTTAAAGCACATTGGCAACTTGCAGACATTTAAAAAATAAAATAAAATAAAGTACTTTACCTGAAGCAGCAGCATGTTACTTTGACCCAGCTTACCCAGCATCTGTATAGATCAGGTGCTTCAACTGGGCTTTTTGGCACTTTTGTCTAAAGCTGAGTCAATTAGATAAAAGCAGTCCGGAGTGGCCCATACTGTCCAGCCACCCTGGACAGGTGCTCTCTGGGGGCTTGCAGGGCCCAATCCTGTGCACCCAAGCAACAGCAATTCCCACACAGGATCAGGCACCTGGAGTGCCTGCCCAACTTCCTCTACATACATTGAAGTACCCCCGGATCTCCAGGGTGGTGAGGAGGGTGTCTCCATAAGCAGGGAAAGTTGAAGATTCCCTGCTTAGACAGACACACCCTGGAGATTCCCAGGGGAGTTGGGAAGGCTAAGCAGGTGTTCCCCGTGCTTGAAGGGTCTGATCCTGCACAAGAATTCCTAGGATGTGCAGGAATGGGTCCTTCAAACCCCAAGAGAATGCACTGTCTGTTGTCCTGCAGCATTAATGGCCAGAACAAAAAGTTGATGTGTGTTTCACCCAATGAAGTGGATCAGCTGAACTGAGACAAATCTGGGAAACAGTTGTGTGTACACATAGAATGGATTTAGGCTTCTGGGCATACCAAAGGTCTCATTAAGGAAATTTTCTCCTATGCAATGCTGAAATATAATTATTATATGGTCATATGTTCAATCAAAACAATTTGTTCTTCAAACCAAGTAAAGCCACTAATTGTGAATGAAGTTACAAATGTCAACTCGAGACATTTGTTACAGGTGGGGATAGAGTTTATCTTTTTTCAAAACACAAGAAAAAAGTGGGGTTTTTTCCCCCTTTTCACACTCCCCAGTTCAGCGATTCTCAACCAAGGTGCTACAGCTTGTCCCTACCTGGTTGAGCTCCCCCTGTCTATTGCCTGGCCCCTTTGAAAGGAGTAAGCACTGTAATATATAAATTAGGGGTGCACTGATAGAGATTTGGGAGCTCATACCAATAGCTGATTTTTAAGGAAGCATATTGGTTGATACCGATCTGATTTCCAATACACAAGTGTCCAGCTGGTAAGTCTGTTGTGGTGGAAGGGGAGGAGGAAGGAAGGGGTGTGGGCATGTCAGGGGGTAGATCAACACCCCCCACAGTGAGGGAAA